CGTCCACAAGCGGTCCTACGTCAAGCTTCCGTTCGTGCCCCTAGGCACAGACCCTTCTACTTTTTTTAATTAATCTACTATTAAATCAAATATTAAAAATCCATCATCACCATCATGGCACACAGAAACAGTTTTTGCAGTGCTACAATAATTATTAAAAAAAGTAGTTATTACAGCTATCCATATAAAATAATCCGTTAGAGATAACTTCGTCAAGATACATCATTTGTCAATTATTAAAAAAATCACTGGATAACTGTTCAAACAACAGTTTTAACGTGTTAAATGCAGTGTTCTTTAAATTCTGCTAATCTTGTTGCTGAACGTTTGATATGTCTAGGCATCGATTTGAAAACATTTAATCCTTTAAAATATAATGAATTTTGTGAAGCTCAAGTCAAAAATGTGGTGTTCTTATTTCAACTGCGTCCCTAGCATTAAATCTATGAAAAACACTTCCTCTTTCAATTCGATCACACAAATATGGAGGCAGCAAACCGTTACCTACTTTAAAAATGAACACCCTAGTAAAATATACAATTCTTTGCTTCCCCGACAACCATTGTAAGGCGTCTAGCATCAAAGTTGAGGAAGTGAATCTATTACATCTCAAAATCTGACGCATTATTTTACTCTGCAAGCGCTGTGATCTCGATATTTGTGTTGCATTGGCCAGAAATAAAATAGAAGGGCAAAAATCTAGATGAGGAGGATTGATTTGTATAGCTGTATTTACTGGCAATAGTTAAATCGTTTTTCAGTCGACATAGAATTCCATTCTTCTTGGCAATTTTCTTGATGACATTGTCAATGTGAGAGTTGAACTTAAGTGTTTCATTAATAATCACGCCAAGATATTTAATCTTCCGAACGCGATCAATAGTCTCATCATCAATTACAGCAGATACGTTCTCATTTACTCTATTCCGCGAAATTACCATAAATTAAGTTTTACTTGTATTCAATTTCAACTGCTTATACTGCAACCATCTACTTAGAGAACGCAAATCTTCATTCAAGTGTAAAACGGCATCATCTAAATCCTTAGCTGCAATGAATAACATAGTATCATCTGCAAAAAGATTAATGTCGCAAAATCGTAAAACACGTCGCAAGTCATTAATATACATAATAAATAACAGGGGCCCTAATACACTTCCCTGGGGCACTCCCAGGTTATTCCCCACGGGACTGGAAACAGAATCATTAAAAATAGTCCGTTGAGTTCTGTCAGACAAATAGCCTTCAAACCATTTATATGCAGTACTTGTAATTCCAAAGCGCTTGATTGATCTTAACAATAAGGGCCTAGAAATTGTTTCAAAAGCGCGTTTTAAGTCCAAAAAAAACAGCAACAATCATATCTTTACAGTCCAAGTTATGTTTCCACTTCGCTAACACCAAATACAACGCGGTTTCACAAGAATGACCTTCCCGATATCCCGATTGTTCTGGAATCAACAAACTATTACTATTTAAATACTTCAACAGCTGGCCTTCAACAGCAAGTTCTAAAATTTTCTCTAATGTGTGCAACATGTTGATGGGACGAAACTCTTCGGCTTTAATCGTTCCAGCTACTTTCTGAATAGGGACCACTAAGAATTCCTTCCAAATTTGTGGCACATGTCCAGTTTGTAATGATTCATTAATAAGGTCCAGCAAGATGTGACATGAAAGCAATCTTGAATAACTCTAGCATTAACATTAGCTACTCCAGCCGATTTTCCTAATGAAAAACAAATAACTCCAAGTTCATCGAATGTAATTGGGTGAAAACCTTAAAATCTACAACTACTTTTAACTGGCTGTTTTATTTCGTCAGGTTCATCGACCAATTCAATGGATTGATTAATCAATGAAACACTGTCTACAATATAATCATTAAACTTAGATGGAATTCTTGTTCTGACTGTTCTAATGTGCCATTAAAAGTCATGGACCGCGGTTGGCAACTATTAGGTTTTAATAAAGATTTCAAAATTTTCCATAACTCTTTGCTGTTGTTTTGATGCTGATCAATCTTCCTTTGTACATATTCACAACGAGTTTTTTTTTATCGACTGTGACTACTTATTACGCGCGATTGTGTACGTATTCCAATGATTGTCATTATTTGATATGCAAAACTTTTTGTACCATTTGTCCCTTTTCCGTTTAGGACGCAAGAGATCCAAATTGTACCAGCTGTTCGAGTTCTTCAAAGAAACAAACTTTTGCTCAACTAGTTGATTGGTACACGTTTTAAAAGCGTTATTAAGAACAGCTGTAGATTCATCTAAGTTACCGGCCGCGAACGGAAAATCCACGCTCCTTTCAACAAGAGTCGAAACAGCTTGCTTCGAATATTTTCTCCAACACTTCAATTATACAAAATTATCGTTATCGTTAACATGGTCTAAGACATTAATCACTAAAGTATCATGATCGGTTATTTTCAAATCAGTATCCGTAACTGAACAAATGGAATCAAAATTGGAATAAACGTGGTCAATTAAAGTTCTACTGTGCCTGGAAATACGCGTATATTCATTTACCGTTTGCTTTAAATTAAAAAAAAACTCAGCTAAACGCTTCAAATGATTCGAAATAATGGTTATCACGCCAATTAATATTACAATCAGTAGCCAATATATAGAATCAAGGAATGTCTTGAGCCAGTTCTCTAAAACTTCAACAAAACGCTGGTCACTAGAACTGGGAGAATGATACAAAACACCATAATTACCCATCTTCATGCCACGTACAACTGTAATGCCCTAGAACCAGTTGCCATCAATAACTTCGTTTGTACGAAGGTTGAATTGAACTGATTCTTTGACATAAATAGCAACACCGCCAGTGTGTCTAGAATGTGATAAACAAGCAGCAACACTATATCCCGGATTACTATACTGATCAAAAGCTTCAGTTTCTACAATATGCTTTCGATGCCTGTACCATTTTTGCATCATTATAATTGTGTGCAAAGTACAATCATACTCTATGCCCAGGAAAGTCGATAAATTTTCCGACCCGAAAAATTCCTAGACCGAACGGCGAATCGAACCGAGCTACCTCCAGCATGGTCTTGCTTTGAAGCTGCGCCTTTACCGACTAAGCTAAAGGAGGTCCCAATTCAATTTTTACATAGATAAGATGTTGTATAATTCCATGTTATGAGTTAACATGATTTGTTATTCTGAGGCGCAGGTAAAACAAAAACCTGTTTATCACACTGTACACGCAATAGACTGATGCAAAATTTGAAATTTCCGCTCCACAGTGCTCAAAAGGTTCAAAATTGGGCCCTGATTTGCCTTCCAAAATTTGAACTCATTTAGTGAGAAACTGACTTGGCACAAACCATTTGAAGTTTATATGGGAATTGCTATGAAGAAACTATAATTTCGGTTCATATCTATCTCAAAATTCACCAGTTCACTTTTCTTTGAAAAATAATAGCTGAACTTGTTGAACATTTTCCCAGCTACAACTTTGTTGAAGACCACTTTTCGATCAAATGTAAGGAACAAAAATTATTAATGGTTCAAGTCACTGATGTCTTATGATTATGCTCAATCAACTGCTCAGCAGGTAACATTGGTGTTTATGGCACGTAGAATAGAGGACAAAAATCATGGCTACTATGTTACACTGCAGAATACAGTGTTGCCCACAATACAGTTGCTTAATCGTGCCATAAGATTATCAATCTCTTAAACAATTAATAAGTATTTAATTTGACGTTTGGCTGAAAAACGATTTTCTGCAAAGTTGTAGCTGATAAAAATTCCCATAAGAATAGCAATAGAATATGTTAACAGTACATGTAAAAAGGCTAGAAGAAAATGAACACAAAATAATGTTTTCCCATAGTAATTTCCATATAAACTTCAAATAGTTTGTGCCAAGTCAGTTTCTTATCAAATGAGTTTAAACTTTCGGAGGCTAATCAGGACCTGATTTGAAACCGTTTGAACACTGTGGAGCGAAAATTTCAAATTTTGCATCAGTCTAATACGCAACCTTAATGATATGTCATACCGCAATTAATAAAAAAAAAACAATCCCATGACATTTTATTATTCCTTTTGTCAGGAGTGAGCTAACCATATTTAAATAAAAAATGTAAATGTACAATACCAAATTATGCCATGATCAAAAAGATTGAAAACTCTGGAAAGTTCTCGTTGAGCACAACCATATCTGCACACCGTCATGCAGATGATTCATGTGATATTAGACCAGGTCACATATGTTACATATAATGCTTTCTGCTATCAGCCATTCAAAATCAAATTATCACAAAAGTAAGAAAGCGTATTCGCGGCATTAAATTCACCCCAGGCAAGGCAAATGCTGGGGTAGATGTACCACTTATGGCTATACATTCCTATTATAGTGTGCTCCAATTATGGCCTATGGAATTTCCAAAGGTCCATAATTGGAACACACCACAATAGAAACGCCAAGCCATTACTGGTACATCTACCCTGTACCATACTCATTCACACATAACACGATTATAAACGTGGTGATAATAATTCATGGAATGGAAAGACAGAAGAAAAAAACCCGAAGAAGTGCTGGCCCTTGTTTTCCACTTTCTCCTGGCCGACAGTCAGAAAATGGATTAAATTGCTTTGCCATTTTCAGGCATGACATAAAGTTTGATATGTCCGCCAGAAACATGTCCTAATCTCATTTTGCAAAACCAATTTCCACTGGAACTGATCATAGAAAATCATTTTCGCTGGCACATAAATTTGCCTTCTTATCCTAAGGCGAGTTTAAAATGTAATTAGCAATGTTGGTTTTTGCTGGAAATCCTCTGCCCTCATGGCAGCGTGGAATAATCCACTCAAAGTCACGGCAAATTCGATTTGCATGGTTGAACGGACGTGATACATATGGTACCTACGATACGGGATTCGGGAGGATGTGCTTATGCGCGTTTGTGAACTCGATAAATACCAATCCAAGCTAACGGGTAAATATAGGTAAAGGTATGTACTCACTTTGCAAAAGTAGATCGCTATCCCAAGGGGTCATAGTATCGACTATGATATTGCAATCATGGCTTTTGATCAGGGTGCAGGTGCAATTCGCAATCATCACCGAATCGTCGTCTTGCTCCATGTACGAGTAACCCTCGTTCAACACGATGATTTCGTTCAGCTTCTTCTCCAGTGCCATCCTTGCTATCTCTTCACCCGACGCTGACGACGACGACGACACAGTCAAATAATGTTGTTGCTTTTGTTCTCAACAGTGTTGGTGCTTTCTGCACACTAAATACGTAGATGACGCACCTCAATGCAGCGTGAGAGAGGGTGGTTTTCCCAGCATGGGAAAATTCCTCCACACAAAGTTTGCTGGGCGCTGGCAAAACGACTTCGACAAAGGATTTTGCAGCAAATCCGGTTCCAACTGGCCAGTTCCAAAAAGCGGCTTTGACAAGGAAGGGCCAGTAATAGTACGCGTAGCTTGTCCCGGGGACTTCCGGTTCAACGAAAACCGAACATTCCAGACTGCATTCCGTGCCAGCTGTTGTACTTCCCACAAGAAAATTTTCTTCCTTCGTTAGCTTGCGCTCACTTCACAGCATTCCATTCTTCCTTCGAACCGACAAAAAAAAACTAATGCACACACTTTCCACTGTCCAAACAGTACACCGTACACTTTACATTAATCTTCTGGAACCGTAGTCCACCTATTCCAATCAACGGTGGGGACAAGCTACGCGCACTTTTACTTCAGCATCCGCTCACGGCGAGCGACCAACCTTGACTGAATGCGAATTGAACTTGCCGATTCTCGAAAACACTCAAGGAAGGATCAAATCGCAACGTCACACTCGCGAAATAAGGATATCGCACCCGACCTCACCAACACGAAAACCTACAGCAGGTTCGCTACATCAGTTGACGAAGAAAATTTATGCGCCCTACGCAGGCACTCTACAGCGGTTCGTGAACCCCCCTTTTTCCCGAACGACCGACACACATCAACAGTGGTGTACTATCTCCTCTATCTCCTTCTAACAACCAAGCCTCGGCAATCCTGCACTACAGTTGCGCAAAATTTCGCAGCGATTGTCACTCCAAAACACACAACAAACTCTCAGGTTTTTCTCTCTCTCTCTCTCTCTCGGGAAAATGCAAGTCGCTCTCACAAAAAAAAATGTATTTTCCGACCATGGAAACGTGAAGTAGCGTTTTCCTGCTTGGTTTGTGTGCGTTTCCGTGCTTTCCGCGATGGACAACAACAGCTACCAGCCCCTACCAGAGATAATAATGCCGACACTACAACAGCTGCTCTGAAAAGGCAAGCGACGTCAGAAAACGCAGGCGTTTGTTATCATTCTGGGTGAATTTGTTTCACGCAGTTCATGCTATGCGCCAACGCTACCTCAACACGTGCTACGGATGAACGTTCAAAGCGTCGAGATGGAGAATACTGAAGCCTTTGTGGCATATTTCAGGGAGGAAAAGAGATTAAATGTGCATCGTTCTGAAATTTTGGTTATATTTGTTTTTTTGTTTATAATTTATTTTTTTACAATGTATGTATGCAATATCTTCAGCAACTTTAAACGGATGTATGTGTTATTTTTGTTCGCTGATGCATTTCCGTTATTCTTGGACTAATTTTTGTCGAGGCCGTTTATGAAAGCTAAAACTACTTGATGTGATAAGGCCGGAGTAGATGATTTTTTTGTTGTTGCCGCCCCATACAAAATTGTTGCAGCTCAAAAGAATTTTTTTTCTGGTCATGTTTTAGAGCTCTCATGATCTGTTTAATGTTTTATTGATGACAAATATTTTAAAATTTCAAAACTGATCATGTATCTACTTTAAATGAATTTGTTGCTCTTGTTTCGTATTCTTAAGCCCTCTCCTATACACTACATAGTAATTTTAGTGTTCTAATTATCATATTGAAACTTTTAGTATTCAATCATTTTAAAGCTTCTATGCAATTTTATATACACTATGCGTTCGCTAACTGAAAGAAATATAAATGTTTACTCAGAAACTTCTTTCTCGTGTATGTAATCTGTGTTTGTTTCATTATAAGGCCTAACCACCTACATAGTTTTGCAGGTCCGTGTCATTTATAGCTCCTCGCAAATCTCACGTGTCAAAAAAAAACGCAAAGTGTAGTGTACGTAGTTTGTATCAATTGTGAAATCGGGAATCACCAGAAATTGTTTTGGTCATGGATACCAACATTATTTAAGTGGAATTAAATGGAAGATAACCCTTTTTGCTGTTTTATTTAAGCATTGCGCTAACAACCCAATTTCATTACTTCATTATGATGGCTACCAAGCCTTTGGGATTTTTTTCCTTATCAGAGATTTGAATAGATTTTTCTCCTTTACTTTACTGTTTTACTTGGTTAGGTAGGTTCTGATTCTACACATTGTAGTTTCATTTTTATACCTGTGATCTTGACTTTTTTACCTAGAGGGGCTAGATTTTGATAAGTTCTTAAGTGGGAATGACATTGATGAAGACTGCACATTGTAGTTGAAATACGTATCTACCATAGATATCAAAATTATTTAAGTGGAATTAAATGGAAGATAACCCTTTGTTGCTGTTTTTTTAATTGGTTTTATGTGTCTTACACAAACTTTACCTCCTCTTCTTGCATCTTACATAAAAAATATTATTATAATATCTCGTAGTTTCATAATTTGAAAAGTAGTATTTTAGCTGTAATGAGTATGTCTGCCATCTTATGAAGCACGTTGCTTGTTAATCAACATTCAGGCATTGAAAGAGCGTTGGGATTAAGCTATGGTCTCTTCCGTGAACAATATCACTTCGCAACGCATTGACTCAGCTTATATATAATTATAATCAAGACTAAATGTGTATGTACCTTCTCGCCAATTGCGTAATTTCCATTTGTTGATGGTAGTTCGCCACCACACTAACTGCGTGAAATTAGTGTACCCCATTAAGCACAAATACGTTAGGCATACGGACGTTAGGCATACGGACGCTAGGCATAATGGACGTTAGGCATAAAGTCATTAGGCATAATATACGTTAGGCATAATGGACGTTAGGCATATAATACCTTGCTGCTGTGCAACTCTAGAAACCTGTTTCAAGCATGGTGAACAATGCTTAAATAAGGCTAAGCGTTGAATAAAAAATGATACAAGTTAAACAAGCATAGTTTCTTTAATAAGCACAGTATGGAATCCATTATTTATCATATCATAAGTGACGTAGCTACATATTTACTTAGATCCAAGATTAGTAGCGATAGCGGTTAAGTAATCTGGCAATGAAAACTCAGCATAGTTTTGAACTATAACTTGAAATCAATCGCATCTAGAAATAAAAAAAAATCACACATTTGATGTAATATATTCTTACACACATATTACAATTGTCAAAGAAGAATAGATTTTCCTCAAAGAACAGCTCATGAAATGAAGAAAGGTGAATTCTGTGATTTTTCATTCAATAACAAAAAACAGCTAAGGTTGAATAAAATATGATGCAAAAGAACAGCCCATGAAATGAGGAATGGTGAATTCTGTGGTTTTTCATTCAATAACAAAAAAACTTACCAGCTGCTGCTATACTTTTCGATACAACGGTTCTGTTTTTGTTGTCATCAGAATGAAAACTAGCGGAACCGTCTGCTGATGATGTGATGTGAGCGATACTTCCATGAACAATGACGAGTTGCCGAAACAAACAAGGAACTGTGGAAAACGTACCATCTGTAACCCAATACTTAGCCTGCCCAAGACGTCGCAAGTTTTCATGAGTTCCAAAAATTAAGGCTCTTTCATTATTGTCACCGAAGTCAGCAATCAATAGACGGTCCCCATTATCATCCTTCTGGAATTCATCGGGTAGATTATGCCTAACGTCCATTATGCCTAACGTCCTTTATGCCTATCGTACATTATGCCTAACGTCCGTATGCCTAACGACCGTATGCCTAACGTCGTGTACCCGCGTGAAATATGGACCGATAAGTCAGATGATGTGTGTTTATAATCTACACTGAAATGATATACCTAAATATGCCTCCGCACCTGAAATTATCTTTCTAATTCCCTCAGAATTCAATACTCTCGGAATTTCTTGGTATTGTATAGGTATTGTCCATCCGGTATGGAATAGGTATTGTCCATCCAAATAACTTCACTGAATACAGAAACCTCCTTCCTGGCCGTGCTGTCAAGTTAAAACAAGGTACCGTTCCGATTCAAATTTCGGACGATTCAAATTTCGGACACTTTCATTTTTAATTAAATATTACATCCAGTTAGAAACAAAGTAATAATGTTAGATGATCGTGGAGGGCACTAGTCAAAAAAATTTAAAATTTACAAGACATGTGGATCATATTCGACCGAGATAATCAACTTTTAAAAGTGTCCGAAATTCGAGTTTAAGTGTCCGAAATTTGAATCGGCACGGTATTTGATGCAAATTGCACACTGAGCTTGACTATCCAATATCCAGTTTCTAGCCGAGATAGCAGGCTAAATACATTGAAAACGAATATTACATAGAGAATGAGTCTCTTTTACTGATTCGCATGGAGATTTTTTTTTAAATCGTATGCGTTGAATAACCTACGCTTTAAGAATACGAATGAGTGAAAGTGACTCACAACGGAGTATTTTTTTTTTATATTATAGTCACTTTAACGCACATGGGTCATTCGTGACTTGTCTGGGGGTGAGATTTGAAATCGTGACTTTGGCGTGAGAGGTATGGATGCTAACCAATACGCCGGGGTCGCCCCAAGTAAAAATTATTCACTCTCTGAGTTATTTTTGTTTTCAGTGTGCAACGCAACGAACACCCTTGTGTATCACTCGGCAGCCAAACTTTGACTTTAAATGATCTTTATTTCTTGAATGTGTGTGGTTTACATGTATTACCTATCAAGTGACACAGATGCGTCTTTTCAACTTTAGTTCCTTTGAAATTTCAATTATTATTTATCTCAGTTCCTAGTCCTATCAGGCATGTTTTAAGAATGACAAACTTGGTGGGATTGGTTTGTTTTAAATTTGAAAAAGGAGACTACTTAGAACTACTATTTACAACTACAACTACTATATACACCTAATCTACTATTACAGTCAAAATTTCTACGTTTCGCCTACTTAAGCATTTGGATTATCATTCTATGTCTCTCCTTTTTTCTGTATTTAGGTAGCTGATGTAGGCGAATGAATAGAAAAATGCTACGATGCCTACGCTGCAGCGAACAAGTTCGAGGTCGACCCGTCCAACGTGTAACGCTGAATGATTATGCGGCTTCGGCTTGTGTTGTTAGGGACCAACTTTCTGATGGCCTTGCGGTCGAAGAAAATGCATGAGAAATTTAAATGTTTCCATATCTCTCATAATGTAGCTATTTAAATACCTAACATTTATAATGTGCGACATACCACACAAATTTTACAAAACTGCAGAGTCGATCGACATAAAAATCATAAAAATCCATTGATTATTGCCCAAGTTATTAACATTTAAAGTCTGACCAATTTTCGTTGCATTTCCCTGAATTGTAACCCTTCCCGAAAGACGCAGTCCTACGTCAAAAATATGTTCAAGCATTGCGAAATAATAGATTATAAATTATAATGATATTATGTAGCCTACTTTTTAAAAAAAATTCGGAGTGGATAATTTTCCCGGAAAAATTTAGTTGAAGTTTTCGGATTTTCCCGGACATCGAGGACGAATAACGTACGAAATTCATAACTCAAGATCCAAGTATCGTAGAAAGAACGTTGTGTAGTGAATTGATATGGAAACTATCTCAGTAGTCAATGAAAAATATAATTTGAAAAATGTTTTCGGAAAATTTTCAACGTGAAGCAAACTTTTCTAATGATTTGTTTCATGCTTGGATACTTCTTATCTTTCACTGGTATTTTTTTTTAGAGTGGTGTCCCACACAGTTCGAAAAGTAGTGTAAATTTCTGTTCAATATGATGCACATAAATGGAGCGTCATATTTCATATACGTTTCCATTATATATCATGTAAAGTTCTAGCACAATTCATGCAATGTAGCAAATATTGTATACAAAAGCCCATCTTTGTAAACAATATTGTTTACAAGTTGCTCGGTTGTGTGAAATTAAATTTAAGTTTACGTGAATGAATGTTTACATCACAAGTAAAATTCTGAATTTTTATCTGTGCATTCTGGTTTTGAGATATGACCGAAAAACTAACGATCAATCATAGTAAAGTTATCAAAACTATCGTTTTCTTGA